AAAATCTAAGCTCTTCAAAATTAATTGTAAAATTAAAAATCTGTAAGCTAGCTATTCTTAAAATGATGTATTTACTGTATCGCCATAAAACGTGATACTAATGAGACGGGGTTATTCAGACCAAACTTTGTTCTGTGACCTAACAGAAGACTGAAGTATACGAAAAGTATCCTTAATTAGTGTACATCATTTTGGAATAAGATACAAATAAGCAAAGGTGGAAAAATCTGAAGTATTTTTGTAGATATTCTTCTCTTCTACTGATTATTATCCATAATGAAGATCATGGTCATCCTGCATTTTTGGGTGAATGATGAGAGTTAATCGACGATGTGGAATGAATAATGGATGTCTGTGCTCACAGTATGTTTGACACTTACCATATACAGGCTTTCGTCACGGAGTATGCCCAAGATGTAATTAGGGCATTATGAATCACAAATTTATATTCCATTATTATACCATACTCTTTTCACGTATTCAGAACTTTCAGTAAAAAGGTAGATGTAAATGTTGTATATCTCTTTAGTTGCACATTTAGGAAGACAACGTTTTACATTTCAGTGCAGTAGTCATTGAAACACTTCATATTATCAGGTAGTCGTGCACTTTGATAATGCTTAAGATATGAGTGCGGATTATCTGAAAATGTGTTCGCCAACAGTGTTGCTCATTTTCCTAGATCTCAGGAGATTCTGCCGAATATGAAATGTGTTTGAGTAAATAGCGGAAGACTATTGCAAGTACTTGTAGTCTCCTTAGCTTCTGAAATCCTAGAGAGAGTGAATAAAAATTCGACAAGAGTCTTCAGTAGATAGGTACGAACTCAGGTTTCACGTAAGTTGTCCTTGTCAGATTTTAAGTGTACTTTGCAATGTTTTTGTGATCAACGATATACTCACAGAACTCCATCTTCATATATATTCTCTCGTGCATCAAGTTATCGTTTATGCATAGTTGTCTGTTTATCCTGATAATATAGTATTCATCAGAGTATGAAAAGCTAAAGATTCGAATTTCAGGGACTTCCGACTGAACAAAGTAAAAAATTGCTGATATAAACCTTGGACGATAGAAATACCAGTTAGATAGAAGCTCTGACGCATCATCCTCTCTGTCGTTCGTGCCACTATTATCTAAAGGCTTGAAGGCACCAGTTTTTGGTTAGTCAAAGAGAAACAGTATGATCAATAGGTCTCTCGAACTGGAGAATAATCCGCCGGTCAAAATAAACTAACATAAATGCCTGTCTTTTACTGATATTTTTTATCGTGTTAGTTTTGGTTTGTTTGAAATGCCGATAAACGGTACCGTCGGCGACTCCCTTGAATTCTACCTAGTATCCATTTTCAGGTTTTTGCAGAACAATTTTGCATTTACCGGGTTTGCATTGAATATTTTGCAAGACCAGTAAAATTTCGTGGATTTAGGGAAATCATCCGGTATTCAGGTCACAATATCGAGTGATTTGTCGACCCTATCGACGGTCAGGCCAGCCAACTAGCATCGATTAATTTCACGCCATGAACTGGCCAACAGAGTGATGATTACAATCTAATCCTTGTACCTACTTTTACTAATTTATTATTGTTCTAGAGTCGCTTGTGTTGTATGGGCACCAAAGTAGTCATAGAACCTGCATATGACAAGCTAATCCATACTAGGTACTTTGAAATCGAGTTAGATCCTCCTGAAGTGCCAGTATATACTCTTGGTTGCGTATCTCTCCGCAAAGTTTCACGTCATCAGCAAAAAGTACTAAGTCTGACGTTACCTGTTGAGGAATATCATTTATGTAAATCAAGAAACGAAGAGGTCCTAGTACTGAGCTCTGGGGGACCCCACTAGGACATTCCATAGCCTGTGATAAAGTGAAATTAATTCTGACCTTAAAATGTCGATTTTTCATGTATGAAGTGAGCCAGTCGATTAGAGGTGGTCTGATACCCAATCGTTTGAGCTTATTGATAAGACATGTATGGTTAACCTTATCAAAAGCTTTTGAGAAATCTAGGTTGATGATGTCAACCTTCCCCTTGTGATCGAGGATACTTGTCCATCTGTCCACCACAGTCAGCAGGTTGTTTATACAAGAGTAACCCCTCTGGAAACCATGCTGTTGGAGTGAGAAGAAACTTATGGACAGTAAATAGTCTTTTATACCACCGCATATCAGGGACTCAATGATTTTCGAAGGTATTGATAGAAGAGCCACCGGTTGGTAACTTGAAGTTTCGCTTCGTCGACCTCTTTTAAAATTTGGTGTGATGTGAGCCAGCCTCCAAGTTTCCATTAGTTTTTCTCGGCTTAGCGAGTATGAGAACATCACGCTAAGCGGCGTTGCCAGGATTGAGGCTGCCTCCCTCAGTATGGCAGAATAGATGATATCCGGGCCAGGAGAAGTGTCTAATCTTAAGTGCTGCTTTTTCCGGAACACCCAGTCAGCGCTAAGGTTCACTTCGGAAAGTCCTGTGGAATTGCAGATGAAACTGTCATCAGTAAAGTTGATGTCGGTCGGTTGAAATGTCTGGGAGTAATGTTCAGCCAGAAGGTTAGCGGCGTCGCCATCGTTGTTGGTCGGGCCGTTAAGACCTAGCAGTTGAGAAACTCCTGTTTTGGCTTGACGAAGAGAGGCTGCATAACGGAATAGGCTTCTAGGGTTAGAGGCAAATTTGTCCATAAGCTTTGTCTGGTACTGAAGCCTGTCTTCTCTTATAGCCTTCGTGCATATGTTCCTTATATGTTTATATTGCCTATACGCTCCGTCGTTATCAGTTCGTTTGTATTCCGCCCAACAGTGCCTTTTGCGGCTTAGCAGGCGAAGGGTACGGTTCTTGATTACTGTAGGTGGCTTGCAGCTTTTGGGAACCGTTTGAGGAACTGAATGGTTTGTAGCACATAGGAGCGCATGCAGTAAGAAGTCCCAATGACCGTCCACGTCGAGTTGAGGGTGAACATCCCAAACCACCTGTTGTAGATAGTCATGTAGAGCTGGCACATTCAGCCGTTTAAAATTCCAACGCAACTTATTGTTGGGATACCTTAATGACAAAACTGAAGGCTATGACGGCACGATCGCTTTTTCCCAGGGGAGCCAGGATCGAGAGGTTGTCAACTAGGAATTCTTCGTTTGTGAATACACAGTTTAAGCGCGATGGTGTCTGACTGTTTCTCCAACGAGTTGCCGACCTCACATTTTCGTATAATCCGAAGTCATCGATGAGGTTGAAGAATCGAGCTTCAATTGAGTTGTCACCTCCAGTATACGTGTGTTCCGCGAAGTTGACTCTAGGGAGATTAATGTCCCCTAGAATCAGGATGTGTGTGAAACCGAGACGAGTAGAGCGGGATAGTCCTTTCAGCATACGACTGTCGTACTCGATGTCGGCAGTTGGCTTCCTGTAAATGACCGTGACTAGATACTTTGAAGTATACCTTGCACGATTATATTCCTCCCGCGGAAAAACTGATCGCGAGTTTCTTTGGGGATGTTCCGGATGAGATTGCGCTCAGAATACGGTATGTTAGGCAGCATTCTTACATTCCCATCTGATTTCAGTAAATGACTCGCTAGTAAGACGTCCTCTACGTCGGTAGCATTCTTAAGTGTTACACGAAGTAGCCTCGAGTGATTTTGATGCTTAGATTCCTTTCCCCGAGTGAGCCGTGTGACTGTCAAAGGCTCCATTCTTGGAAGTCCAAGTTTCTTGTTCAATTCTCCCCAGAGCATCCCATCATTTCTGTCCTGCAGACTGAGAAGAAGGTCAGGGTTGTCTTTGAGGTTCATGACTCTAAGAGAGTCATCGCAAACCGTTATTGTCGTCCCAGCTTTTCCGGTGCGTTCAGGTTTAGCACCTTGTTGTTTGGGGGTCAAAGCAGGTTTATGAATCTTTGGCTCTTTGATGACCGGACGGACAATCTTGGGGGTGGACAGTGCGACCAGATCACCAGTTGACTTCCGTTTAACAGCTGGGATGTTCAACTTAAACTGTGACGCCTGGCCCTTTTTAGCTCTTTTGACATGGGTCCAATCACCTACAGAGGTTTTGGGAACCACTGTCACGTTCAAGGACCTTGAGCTGCGAGACCCGAGTTTGCTGAGAGAGTCGAGTACCGTCGTCGTAATCATGGTGCTGAGTTTCAGCGTGTCACCATTAATGCTGTTGCATGCTCCGTCGTTGGTAGACCTGTCGACATCCCTGTTCTCGTTTTTAATGCGCTGTCTTGTTTTTCTACCCATTTTTTGACTGTCTTTTCCCAAGTTTGTCGACAACTTGCTCAGCAGACCTGTCAGTAGGACAATGATAATACTCAGCAAGACTTCAGCATCCGCGCTGCACGTAACACATTCCCACTTATGATCCGACTTGCTGAGTCTGTTGTAGGCAGTTGCTGTGAGATCTGTACACGCTTCATGGAACCAATTTTTGCCGTTGTCGCATCGCGTGCCAGATGTAACAGCAAAACGGTATCCATGTCGTTTTGCATGAATTTTTCATGACTGTAATGACGTAAACTGTGTTGTAGATGCTAGCCCTAGACCGTAAAAAATACACTAAAAAGCACACTGAAAACAGACAAAAATAGATAAAACGGATGAGATAAACTGAACTAGTCTTTACGTGAAAAACTGAAAAAAGACCGAATAGTAAGCTGAAGCAAAACCACAGTTAACTATTAAATTGCGTGAAACTCAAATAAAGTAATCTACCGAACGTATAGCTCAGGATAGATTCTTTTGGTCAGAAATGGTACTTTTGTTGCGTAAGAACACAGCAAAGTTTGAGAAATGCAAATCACTTTAGGACTAAACTTCCCGTTCGAAAAGCGCGCCAAGTATTCGACGTTAGCTGGCAAGTCCCACTATGTTCAAATCTACCGAAAATTTAGATATGAATGCGAACACTAAAAAACTTGCAAATGACGATGACTTTCATAGAAGTGTGATTTGCAGCAATAATTGTTCTAAATATTCACTGGTCCTTTTTAACAAGGTCATGAAATTTCAAAATTCCGTTACAGTGAGTGGAGTTTTATTGGTGTGAATTTGTAGCCGAAAGGTAATGAAAGTATCTGAAGTTTGCATATTACATCTTTGTGAAATTAAAAAAATTGCAGGAAGTTATCGGACTCGTCAATGGATAGTAATTTTTTTACAGATGTTCACATAATGTTGTTGAATTTAGCATTCTGGATTAATTTTGTTTGATATGATCAGTTGTTTAAACTTGCATCATAAAAATAATCGGATTTGTTGATGCCATAATCTTCTTTAACTCATCGGGACATATGTAGCCAATTTATTTAGGGGACAAACAAAGCTTAAGCTTTGAGACAATTGTCTCATGCATACAATTATGTACCTCAGAGTTTTAGCTCTTGAAGATTTACTTTAGAATGTTTAGCCCACGAAATCCAACATTGCACGGAAGGGAACTGTTCCTGGGGCTTCATCTTTCTATATAACCAACTCGTTCTATCATATCAACTATGGTTGAAGGTTTCCTGTAAAATATACACTTGCGAACACCGAGCATTTGTTCTTAATTATATCTTTCCTACAAAAGGCGTCAATATTTTTGTTTCTGTATACCCACAAGGACGGCTAATGGTATTAATTATCTGTAGCAGTCGTATGGCAAGACCTGTCATATTAGACAGTAATTAGTTTGTTAATATTCACTTTAAAATACTTTGACCAAATGATCGTATGAAGTATAGCGTTTTATCTAAAGATAAAAAATGGGGGGGGTAGTTTTGTCTGAATCTCTGCAAAGGTTTAATGGTATCACAGGATTTCATGTCATTTTTCACTTAATGGTCCAAAAACACTGTTTAAGCTTGTGTATCGGAAGGTGAATGTGCTTAAAACCTTAGGATTTTTCTCAAAGACATGTTAGACCTGTAACGAGCTCTTGACTTACATGTAACCGTTCTCGTGATTATTCAGTACTCGTATTTATGTTCAAACGATTTATCTGCAACATGCAGAGATCTTCAGTTGTGAACGTAGAATCTGGTACATTTATGCAACCCACTACTTCATATTACAAATAAATACATCTTCCATATTCACATTCTGACGCACGAATTAATACAGTGACAGGTTATGTAAATTCACCTTGACCAAGGATAAATTGACGTTGAAATACAGAGGCCTATTATAATTTTTATTGTATTAAGAATATTCCGCTTTGTTTCCTTTGTACCATTTAAGCTTGTGTTAATTTAAAGGCTCTCTATTCGAACACAATTGGTAGAGTGAGAGCTTATGGCGAACTGTCATCAGAATTGATTACCTCAAGTGGTGTTCGTCAGGGTTGTCCACTCTCTCCATTCTTGTTCAACTTTGTCGTCGACATGCTTTTAGAAATAACACTTTTCTCATATAAATTCCCAGGGGTTGAACTTCTACCGGGAGGTTCACTTGTTGACTTGGAATATGCTGATGACATAGTTTTATTTGTTGAAGATGCTGACAAAATGCAGAGTCTTCTGACCACTCTAAGCAACAATGCAAGCATGTTCAGGATGCGATTCTCCCTCTCGAAATTTAAAATGTTGCTTCAGGATTGGGTTGCATTGACACCCGAACTAATGATAGGGAGTGAAGTAATTGAGCGTGTCGATCACTTCACTTATCTTGGAAGTCTCATCAGCCCTTGTGGTCTGGTGTGTGACGAAATCTCAGCACGGATACATAAGGCTCGACTAGCTTTTGCCAACTTGCGTCATTTATGGCGTAGGCGAGATATCCGTCTATCAACCAAAGGACGTGTTTACTGCGCAGCAGTTCGTCCCGTCCTACTTTATGGCAGTAAAACATGGCCGGTAAGAGTAGAGGATATTCGTAGGTTACTAGTATTCGATCATAGGTGTCTTCGAAACATTGCTCGTATATCTTGGGACCATCGAGTAAGTAACACAGTTGTTAGGAAACGGGATGGCAAATCAATTGATGAAGTAGTGAAACTTCATCAGTTGAGATGGCTGGGACACGTGTTACGTATGCCCTACGACCGACTGCCTCGACGTGCTATGTTCAGTGGTATAGGAGTAGGTTGGAAGAAAGCTAGGGGCGGCCAAATCAAAACATGGCACAAGTCCATGAAGTCACTGACAAGTGAACTGAGTCATGTTGCTAGGTGTAGACTACCTGGTTGGGGACCGCAAGATGATAGCAACCGATGGTTAGAGACCCTGAATGACATGTCTCAAAATCGTTTGCAATAGCACAGGTGCATGCACTCTTTGTGTTCTCCCAAATTCTAATCTTCTGAATTCTTCATGTTCCTTTTTTCCTCTTTCCGAATTTATTTCGCTGGATTATACTCTTTAAATAACAACTTCAAACCCTAATCTTCCCGATTAGTGCTTATACTCTTACTACCTCTACCACTACGGGATTTGAATCGACAACTGCATCTCTGTGCTAATATGGTGTGGTAACTCGAACTGATGTTTGTACGTACGTACGTACGAAGTTCTACGTTGTTCTGACTGACTCACCAGACCATCATTCTTAGAAATGTTGCTCCATGTGCTGGGATCACCGGGTAAGTAATAGTGAGGTTAGACGTAGGCTATTAGGGAATGTTGGTAGGTCAGTTGATGAGGTTGTTGGGCCATGTGTTGCATATGCCCGAACACGGATTACCATGACGCGCAATGCTTACCGGTGTTCTATTTTATTTCAACACATAGATATTGGTACAAAGAGGCACCAAATACATATGCGCCGCACAAATCTCATTCGATACGTGTGAGGGCTGTGGTACTGCCCGGGTGCCCAAACCGAAGCAGATGGTTTTCTTAGGTGGCCACTCCCCGAGCCTTCGACTTGACAGTCTGATCCACAAGGCAGTGGAGCATCGTAAGGAGATGCAGTCCCATGGCAGCCGGTGACCAACGATTGGTTCATACGCCATTTGTTCCCGCAGGATACTGGAGCCCATGTGCACCATTGGTTTGGAATCCGGTTAGAGCGCCGGACATCCGCTTTTCGTCCTCTCATTTTCGTAAACAACACCCGTGGTGCAAGAAGGCAGTGAGTAGGACTTCCCCGACAGAGGCTATATACGCCGTACCAGGGCATTTGAAGGCGCTAACCGGTGTTGGGGTTGGTTGGAAGAAAGTTAGGGGCGGCCAAACCAAAACGTGTCATCAGTGCTTGAAGTCACTAACTTCTAGTCTTAGCCATGTCGATAGATGCAGACTATCTGGTTGGGGTCCGCGTCACTATCGTAACCAATGGTTGGAGACTGTGGGTAACATAGCGTAGGTGTATACACTCACTGTCTGCCCATAAACCGTGAGATCAAAATTGCTTTATATCTTTCTTTCTACGAATTAATCCTTTCTTCCTGTACTATATCCTTATATGCAATCTTTCTTTTATATATAACCACTATTGAATTAAGTACTTCTATGAATTTGGTGTTTATCCTGTTGTAGTAATGAAGTATGGCAACTTGGACTGATGCATATATGTGCCTGATCCTACTTTGTAGCTGGTTGACTGACTGATCCTTCTTTTTAATATAGTTCTCCAAAAAAACGGTTGTAGATTTTCATCTTCCTATTTAGATGCATCGATTAGAAATCTTCAAATCCATAATTTCCGCGTCTCACTTGTTTTCAGATTTTAAAACGTTTTCCACTCGAGTTTAGATAATGTTGACCCTTGTGTTTATTGCCTTATAGGTTACAAATTTTTCTGAGAGCTGTTTTAAGTAGATGTTGACCCGAGGTTTATCAAAATCAACGTGCATCGAATTCTTACCATGCGTTATATATCTAAACAGGAACAATTCTGGATCGCTTGCAGTTTCGGACGTGAAGGAGCTGCTAAGAGGTTGATCGAAGCTGGTGTGGATGTTAATTGGAGGTCCTATGTGGTACGTTTCTTCTTAAAATATTATTTGTCTAGTACGAATGCTATCCTATACATGTCTGCTCCCAAGGGAAACCTAGTATTTTACAGATGGTTATTCGAGCAGGAGCAGATGTTAATGCACTTGATTCCGTAAGTATATATACGTTCACTTTGTAATTGATATTCTAGGCAGGTAATACAGCTTTGCACCATGCTGCTATGTCAGGCAATGAAATCAATACTCAAATGCTTTTATCTGCGGGTGTAAATGTTGATATAGTCAATAAAAATGGTTGGACACCGTTATTTAATGCTATCTATTGGAATCATCCATCTATAGCTGAAATGCTACTGGCCAATGGTTCAAGTCCATTTTTGAAGAATAAGGTATTACGTAATGTTGAAATGATAACCTTTTTCTTATTTCATGTTGCAATTTCTATTCATTACTAAAGGAGTTCACTTAACAAGTTGAGTTAATTTATTTGATACCTTCTCCATAGCTCGTTCTCAAATGTCTACCAATATATGACTCATTTTACATGAATTATTTTTGAGATATAGTCTCCTGACGTGGTTCACTTTGCGTGTAAAGCGATTTAGTTCCTATGGGGATTTGTGGAGATTGTAATATTTTCATTCCCAGTTATTATTTTGAAGAGGTGAACGCGTGAGTGGAAGTGTCCAAACGCTATATAACAGTCCTAATAATAGTTTAAAGGTAGTTAATTCCATTTTGTGCACATGATTGACTTCTTGGCACTTCATGTAACAAGTTTCGCAATGTAAATATTATGAAAACACTTGAAACGTGGTTGTTACCGTCATGTGATATTCGGGCTTACCTGTCCTAGTGGCTAGGTTTTGCTGTATTGGCTGGAACTCTTCGTGAGATGAGGGAAATCCGGAAACGAAAACCTCATTCATTCCTTTAATAGCATTGAGGATAAATTAGACCATACACTTTAGTTAGTGTATTATCAGTTATACATAACTAATTTTCAACATTGTAGTTTCAGTCGTTATGTTCTTATGACCTCATATACATTCAATCCGTTTTACTTTTCAAGATGAACATTTGATTATATTTCACTTAGAAATAGATATTCCTTATCAAAATGATCATCAATATTTCTATTTTAAGAAATTTTTTTTTTGAAAATCGAGTCGACCATTTGTGCATATGCCTAAAAACCACATTCATTCGTAAATACCTATTGAATTGTATTTTATATGAACATCTATTTATATTCTGACAATAACAATAATAAAGTGAACGACTACACTTCTAAATGTCATCTTACTTCTGGTTCCAGTTGTGTTTTGAACAAAGTGAATATTTCACAGATTGAAATCATGAGTCAATTGAAGCTAGACCACCATGGAAAACCTGAAAGCACTGAACGGCCGCTTCGTCCTAGTATGGGACTCCTTAGCAGTGCGTATCCACGATCACGCACCCTTGCGAGATTCGAACCCAGGACCTACTAGTCTCGCGCCAGGCGCTTAACCAAATAGACCACTGAGCCGGCATCCAACGGTGTTAATGTCTAACTTCAACCAACCCACGAAGTTGCGCCACCGTATACCATTGTCTTCAGTGAGCTGATATCTCACAACAGACCTGAAGTGAATAGTTTAAGAATTCCTCAGCCATTGAAATATTTTCAAACGTCTTAATAAGATCCTTTTTCATACTTTATTTTAAAGTAGTTGTTTGTTTTCAACTCTGTAGAATGGGAGAATTCCACTACATGAATTATGCCGAACTAAATCCAAAGATTCTGTTCGAATTCTTAAAAATTTCGAATTACTTCTTCAATGTATGAATAAATATAAACGAGAAGCATTAGTCAGTATAACTGATTGCAAGCCTGATCCTATTACTACTACTAATTCTACTACTATTGATGACAATCTAAATTTAAATGAAACTATAATAGATAATTGTGGAACTTCTATTGATTTGGATAATATGAATTTAAGAGCATGTTCTCACAATGACTTGGATTCAGAAGTAAGTAATTTTATAATGTAAATTAATATAGTTATTGAAAGGAATAAAATATTTATTAAGTGTTTCCAAATAAGCTTCAGTTTTAATCATGAACTGTCACCAACCAAAGAACTGTCGAAAGATAAGAAGCATTAAACAGCTGTTTTGTTCCAATTTGTGACTTGAAAGTTCTCAGTTTTAACATATGTATGAATTTATGACTGAGAATTGCTAAGAAGTCGCAAATTAGGACGAAATGATTGTTTATTGGTTGATGAATCTCCACAAAACCCCTTCTGATATGATTTCGTAATGAGAACTAATCCAATGAATACATTTGATTTGTCATTGTAGAATGAAAACATGATTTTGATAAAATTTATTTTCAGGCTGACTTTACCCCACTTCTATTTGCCTGCTATCATGGACATTTGGAACTTGTCAAAGCACTGTTGGATCGTGGCGTTAATGTCTCCGTCACTGACAAGGTAAAAGCTTTAATCCACGAAGTATTTGTTCGCTAAAAATTCCATAATCTTTATCTCATGTTTTTCATTTGAAAATTAGTCAATCTTAATTAGAAAACTACTGAACATTAGAAATGGTTAGCAATATACTTTCATTATTCTGCATATCACTGAATAAGGTATTTTTAACGAATGATTTGTGAATTCGTTTCCTACCTATATGGTATGATCCGCAGTCTTGTTCAGCTATTATTCATACTCTGAACGTTTGATTAGTTCATTTATACAAAAGGATTATATAAAATGACTCCAGAAGCTGTCCTATCGAAAACTCACGTAATAATACTTGCAAGTCATGTGTGTTTTTTGGGTGATCCCAGGATGATTCAGATAGCTACATGTATACAGCAAATTGACCTTAGTGTCAATCCTCCCAACCGTTGCTGCTACCTTTACGTGATGATCAGGCTTGCTTATCGTGATGAACCAGTCGGGCTACACTGGTTCGAACAATCGTTCCTCAAGGTCCTACCACGCCAGACAGGTTGGTTGAAGAGTGGCAAGACTAAAAGCAGCAAACCCAAGGTCCGAGAGTGAAGTCTTACTGCTGAATGTACAGAGGTGTGATTGTAGTAAGGTGTTTCCTTTAGGCAACTAGCATAACACCGATGCTGCCTTCCTACAAGGAAGGGTAGGGTTAGAAAAGGTCGACCCTAAAAATGCACACCTCACCTTATTCTACGGATTTCCGTCTCTGGCGCTAAGTCCCCAACAAGTAAGTTGCTAACCCGGAAAGGTCGTGTGTGACCGGTCTCAAGCAGTTGTTTGTTGGGTACTGCGGTCACGCTCTCAGGTCACTAAGACCAACTCTAATCCAATTTCCTTTTCAGGTACCTCCAGAAGAACCCTTCCACGGTGCGGGCAATCGGGTAGTAAAAACTGCCCTCATACTTTTAACAGCACAAGTGTCACTCCTCGTTTATTACTCACCCTTGATATATCGAGTGATGCGTCCTTTTATATTCAGCAATATTATTGTAATCACGAAACTTATACATATATTATAACTTAGTTTCTGGCTAAAGTGTATAAACAAACTTGTCAAACTGTTTCTACGTTCTCTTCTTACTAACTAAGTAAAGAAAACGATATTCGTTGTATCGCACAGATTGAGAAAGCCATCAAACATGAAGTATTTAACTGTGTGGTATTACAGAAGGGGATTGGCAATATAATTATATTGGGGATGCATTATTGTATAACTAATAAGATTTTAACACCGAAATATCTAAACTCAGACTTTAAATCATTTCGTTTGTCGTACATATATCCGTTATTTTGGTGAGTTATCAAATCGATCCAGAATACTAATTGAATTACCCACTGGCTCGCTGCACATTGTGAATGAATACTGTAGGGAAAGTGTCCGGATATGAATGTTTACAAAAGCACTAATCAATATACCTTTTACTGTAGAATAGAAAAAAGTGATATTTTCATCGCAAATAACTTGCGATTAATCAGTGGGTGGAGAAAAACACATCTGGTACATTACATATATCTACATAACGATATATACGTTTGCTCTTTGTGCTTTTGTTGTAACAGTCTCGTGTTCTGTCTTACATATGGCTCTCAATCGAATAGTTGTACTATTAAGTACGAGTGTGTCATGTGACTAGGTAATACATCATTGTGATAGTAGAATGATGATAGTTATGGATTGTAAAAGACGAAATATTTCGAACCCCGTGTTTTTACAAATCACTTTCAAAATAACAATGGTTTTTTCCACTTATAATGCATAAGTTATTCTCTTGTTCTGTTTTTACTTACTAGAATCACTGGACAGCTTTACATTGGGCTGCACAACAGTGTCATGCTGATATTGTTGAAGTACTATTGGATTATGGTGCATCAATATATGCGAAAGATTTGGTATGTGTAAATCATCACTATTTCTTGTCATTTTTGGGAATTGTATTATTCTAAATTTTTCTTTCATAGTATGATTCATACACCTTTCTGACGAGTACTACCAACGACCACAAAGCCTGAATCTAGAATATCCTCCCAACTGATTCCAGGGATGTAATACTAAATTATACTAGGCGCAATGCTTAGTCACTTAAACTTATGACCACTTGCAACTTGATTGATAGAATTCGATTCTCCAGTCCAGATTAGAAAAACATACACTGGTCACTGCTCGGTGATTAATCAAAGCTCTAGATTTGCTACTCAAAAATTAGGAATCTAATGGTTAAATCACTCCTGCACGTGATTATTGTTCACAGAATAATGTTTCAAGCATAGTTTGTTATTTACAATTAGTCTTGTGAGAACACATATAACTGTGTAGCACTTTTTCACACATCTGTTACGAAGTAAAAAATATTGCTTATTATTTATATGTTGATTCGCTGAACAATAATTGTTACCTATCATGAACTAATCTCAGTTAAATTGCCACTGAGAAACAGAAAACGCCAGATAGCTATTTCATTGTGGTATAGAAATTACAAGTAGTGCATACCTAAGATCTAATCTGGAATCTTTTAATCTCTGGATGAATGTTTAACAAATAGACTGCAAGTTTGATATCCAGTCGTACATATTTCTAACTTCAATGACTTCTGGACATATCATGATGACCATCCTATGATACTTGTGATAACTTCTTTCTGCGTGACATAGTCGAACTTCACCGGTGACGAATCCTCACAAAAAATCAAGAAAGTTATTCCGGTCAGTCACTAATGAGCGCAAGGTTATAGTTCTGATAAAGATTAGCGTAATGTATAAGTAATATTCACATTGGGTTTTATATCCAGTGAGTTGTTGAGTGAGAACTGTACTAGTTTAAGGCAACTGTCCCCAATGTTACCTTAAATGAGACGTATCCATAACGAACACGAGCTTCAGATTAGTATGGTCTCCATTAAATATTACTTTACTTTTCAATCTATTTTTAGTATTGTTAACTTTAGAAAAATATTCATACATACAGAATTTTTAATATCCAACAGTTCACATGGAGTATATTTAAGAGATATTAAACAGTATTTTTAGAAGTAGGCAATGTTATTTGATGTAGAGAAGTAGTTTAGAGGAAAGGGCCACCAAACACATATGTGATTTAATGTCATTAACTATTGCACTTTAATATGTTGATATATTGAAACTATTTAGTTGGGATATGTGTAATAAATGTGGTCACTGATTGGAAATATTAGATGACATAATTCATAATAAATCACAAGAGCGCAGATTCATTCACTTTCTTTTAGCATATTTTTATACATACCTTTTCATCTTATGTTTTCTAATCACGTTCTCGATGTTTAATCTTTCTTGTGATCATTACAATCACAGCTGTTTCAATCTCTTCTATCTATTCATCTTGTTAATTTCATGTGATCGTGTTGCTGTGGTATGACAACATGGGCTAACATACATTTGTGGCACTTTGTGCATTGATTATTATCTACTAAGACTATTTGATACCAACTATTTCTCTGATACTTTACTGCCCCCCCCCGGTAAACTCAAGGAAGCTCTAAGAAGTTCGGAACTGGCCGAAGATATTCCATCCGATCATCTTTTGGAAGGACATTCCAAAGTCTTAACGTGTAGTTCTCTTTTAACTTGCAAACAATTTACTACTCTGTGATGTCTTTTCTCGTTTTTTTTCACTCCTCTCTTTTATGATATTTGCTTTATCTCAATTCTTTGACTATTTCTTACTACTTATAGTTATGTTGTGTTTTTTCAACCTTGTTATCTTTTATCTTCGGAATTTTACTGCTATCTGTTATGCGATGTGATATAGTGAAGACGATGGTGATGATGATAATGATGTTATGGATTAATGACGGATTTGTTTGTGTTTTCGATATATTTACTAAATTATCATCACCGATTACCACGACGCACAATGCTATCCGGTGTTGGGGATGGTTGGAAGAAAGTTAGGGGCGGCCAAACCAAAACATGTCATCAGTGCTTGAAGTCACTAACTTCTAGTCTGAACCATGTTGGTAGATGCAGACTATCTGGTTGAGGTTTGCGTGACTATCGTAACCAATGGTTAGAAACTGTGGGTGACATGGCTCAGAATCGATCACAATGACGTAGGTATATACACTCACTGTCTGTCCATAAACCGTGAGATCAAAATTGTTTTATGCCTTTCTTTCTACTAATTAATCCTTTCTTCTTGTACTATATCCTTATATGCAATCTTTTTTTATATATAACCACCATTGAATTAAGTACTTCTATGAATTTGGTGTTTATCTTGTTGTGATAATGAAGTATGACAATTTGAACTGATGCATATATGTGCCTGACCCTACCTTGTAGCTGACTGACTGACTAACTGATCTTTAAGTGTGGATTTTTTACATTGATTTACTTCTAAATAAAACATTAAAATATTGAGTCAGTAATGAGTCTTCTCTTTATAGTGATATATATAACCTACTGACTAACGGAGTTTTAGATAAACGTGCGGAATGATAATGAGAGCTTTACAACTAAATCCCGTGACACAGAAAACATGGCACCACCGAAAGTATCCACCTGAGCTGCAAACCTGTATCATATTTGTATATACAACCTACTGATTAACGGGTTTTATTAACTTTTACAAGTAGTACACTTATTAAAATTATCATACATCAGTAGGTGGTGTGTATTCTAGCGATTTCTAAATTTATTAGTTTATACATACTAGTGTATATGTTAGTGATGTGTATTGTATTGTATAAATGAAAAGAAAAAAAACAAAGAGGATTTACCATATTTAGGCCTTAATTATCAAGTAGGTTTTCAGAAATGTATATGGGTATTTATGTACAGACTTTATTTATCTTGACATGTTCTTCGTTATTCGGTTCACCAGGGTGCTTGGTACCTGTGTGGTTGCGTCACAGGGTTGAGCTATAATATTCAGATTGTAGCGTTAAAGCCTATACGGTGTCTGATTCCCCTGCTAAACGGGGTTGAGTTGTACTGTTTGGGTTTTTACGTGAAAGTCCGGATGGTGTCTGGTTCTCCTGAAAACCAATGTAAAATTACCCTGACCCACAAGGGTATATTATATAACTTATATAACTGTTCTTCGTTATTATTATTATTTTATAACTTCTTGGTATATTGAACCACTTATCACGTACCAGTATTGTTTACACTTAAATCCATAATTTATTTACATCTTTTATTGATAGATAGATATATAATTCTGTTAATTTCTCTCAGTGTGATTATAAAGTACCTTCTACTTGAAATGTTTTAAATTGAGATCACTAATAGGCAACGACGGGAGATTGTAATATTCTAAGATTTCGGACAATAATTGTATAATTTAGGTTGTCTAATTTAGATAAATCACAGCTAGTAGAAAGAATTAAATGAATCTAGGATAAAGAAGAGTTTATTTTTGAATTGTGTTATCGAAGTTACATGACTATTGATATATGGTGCTCTTGGATACAAGGTAGTTGTCTTTAATATATCTGTTAAAGTTTATTGATTGACGACGAACAAGGAAGTTAAATTATATGGTTGTGTCATTGCGTTTACTTATATACGTGTTAAGTCAGATTGGACTATGAAGCTGAGTGACACGGGGTCGAATCCGTCAGGGACCATCAGTTCCCACAAGATTACAGATACACCTTGCTGACGAGTGCCAAGTAGCACGAAACTTAGGTCCAGGGTTTCCTGTTGACTACCTCCAACCACCATCTTATCTCAACATTGTGCACGCAATGTCGAGTCACCTAGACTAGTGGTCACATTGCAACTTGGTTGATAGGATTCAGTCTACACCAAGAAGGACCTGACATACATGACATTGATCACTTCCCAATGATCAGTCGATTGTAAAGATTGGATTCTAATTATAAATTTGAACAGTGATTTACTTAGAGTTCTTGTGACCGAGTTTGTCGTTGCTAGTTGCATTGATTTACATTGTTCAATCGGACCATTGTAATCTACTGAGTTGTGAAAAGCGGTTACGTATTGTTCGTTAATATAATCGGTTTTTAGTAATAATTCAATTATAATATTAAATCTCAAGCGTTATCTACTTCGATTTAGACAAACGGATAATGGTATAGAAAGTCCCCCACACGAAATGTGTAACCCAAAGTTGAGTAAATATGATTGCGGTTTGTAAATTAATTACATCGATATTTATTTACTACTTATTTAAACATGTAAACATTGGTCCAAGGAGGCACAAAATATATCCTCGCAACACAAACCATTTGATTCGTGTGAGGGCTGAAATTCTGTTCAGGCGCCCAAACTTAAGCACGTGGTTTTCCCAGGAAGCCGCTCCTCGAGCCCTTGACGTAGAGGTCTAATCCACAAGGCAGTGGAGGAACGTCGGGAGATGCAGTCTTATAGTAGCCGGTAGATTCATACGCCTTCTGTTCCCTCAGGATCTTGGAGCCGATGTGTACCATTGGTTTGAAATCACGGTCTTCCAATTCCCTTAGGTGGATCCCCTGTATTCACCAAACTGTTGAAAGCACCGGACATTCGCTTTCCATTCTCTGAATTTCGTAAACAACACTTCACTGCGAGTAGGCAGTGAGTAGGACTTCCCTTGCAGTGGCTGCATACACGTGGCCACTTGAATGAGAGTATTTTGAAAGGGGGAGCAAAATCTCGCCACCGTCAACCAGGGGATTTGGGGGTCACTGATATTTAGCAGTGTATTTTTTAGATTGTTAGTTGATTAAAAGAGTGACAATGAATCTGATACAATGAACCAATCAAAAGCCTTCCAACGATAAGTGCATGTTATTGGCCAAGAAATGATTTCATTTTCTAAAGTATATATATATATATATATATATATATATATATATAATTCTCTTTAGCTCAATAAACTTCCTTCTTCACTCTGAGTCTTTTCATTCAGTAGTCGATTGGGAACTTGCGTATAAGAACTCTTGAACATCATTATCAAACTCGGATACCACGCATCGTAAATGACGTAAAATCGAACATACATGTACATCGTTCCAATTTTTCACACCACATCAGCAAGTTTGAATGTAAACAATATGATTTTAATGCAGTGAACTCGCGGAATAAAAAGGACGTAGTATTATTTTAAAACCAAGAATCTAGTGAAGACGAAAAGCCAGTATATCTTCGCCAATACTACCGATTATAAGTTAATGTCATCTAATATTTTCAACGACTGGTTACAATACTCTCACAAACTCCAACTAGGTGGTGTGCGTATGCCAACTTATCTCAATCAATAATTTCACTGGCTGATGCTTTTATCTTTCTTTGATCACCCCTAAGTTTATTCCTATACCGGCGAATGTCGCGTATCAAGGTAGACCATGGTTGGGCATGGGTAAAACATGTTTTAACCACTTCAGTCAACGTATACATAATGACATCTTTTTTAAGAAGTGAACGTAGAAAACTTTTTAAGCCATATTTCATTCTCCTTTATTACTTCCCTTTTTTCTTTGTCCTTAGCGTGGCTGTATGCCATATGCTGTAACAAATGATATAGGTTTACAAGAATGTCTTTCACCCGATATTGACTATCCAAATATTATATCCAATGGACATGTAACCACTGATGAAGAAGATGACGATGACAAAGACAATCATAATGATGATATTAATGACATAGATAGAAAAGAAGAAGTATCTAAAATAAAATCAAGTACACTTCAATTACAATTATTACAATCACATCCACAAATAAACATAAATGATACATTGGATTCATCTGTGATAACTAAACAACTTAATCTAATGGAATTATCTTTAATTGAAAATCACATGGAAATATCCACTGCTGAAATAGCATCACCTGAAATTTATATTAGCACTGTATAATTATAGGCAATAATAAGTGAAAAGAAAACAAATTCTTTCTTTCTCCCTTATCCAGATTGTTTGTATTGTTGCCTTAAAGAATGTCAACTTGTTCTCTATTCTATTTTTTTTCCAAAATGGCACTACTCATGATTGAATCATTGACAAATTTGTATTTATAATGCATGTCTTCAACAATATCATAATGTTTGCATGTATATTTTGTATTGGAACTGCATATTCAAAGAACATCCTCACATTATGATTTTTATGATTATTATTATTGAATAGTCATATTGTGAATGATCATTTAGGAATTTTAGTGTAAACAGTTATACTGCTAGGTTTCTTCTCTTTCTCTTTTTTTAACGTAAATGTATAGTCTGGTTTAAAGCTTTAAGACTTGTTGTATCTACGATGAAGGAGAACATATACAATTGGCATCAAATTCAATGAATCTAATATAATGTTTACTAATACTATTATATTTATAGCTTATAAGAAGAGAATACATCGATGCATTACTCCTCTTTTTTTTTCTTTCATTCTTCCTAAATCTTTTCTCAATTTGTCACATACTTTCTTCACATGTCCTACATATTTTGTTGTTGTTGTTGTTCATTTTGATTTAAAACCATATTTTAATTTGACATTTTGATGTGATGATTTATTCTCATGTATGATGGAGTATACAATTGCCAAGTTTTCACTTTTATTTAAAGAAGTAAGTGTTCGTTGTATTGTTAATTGATATGGTTTACTTCGATTTTCATATATCCTTAATTGAAAGTAGGTTCTATGTTTCTTATGACTGAAGCCAATTGAAGTTGAATAGGGTTCCTAGTTTCTAAATATACCTTATTCCTGTTTGTTAGTCGATGAATCTAGGTGGTGTCCCATCAACTAACGTTAAGTTCAACATCTACTAGGTACCTGTAAATTTTTGAAAATACTATTTATAATTACTGATATTGATGAGAGAAGCCTTTTCATTATATACACAGGTAAAAATATCTAGATTGCAGAAGCATGGTAACCCGTCTTGTAATATTATGGGGAATATTAAGGGAGAGCAAGTTTTACTGATTATAAATCTTACACATGGGGATTTAGTCTTAATAGAGAATAAAATGTTTTTTTGCACCACTCCTTATCTCCGATGGACAAAACCTTCATTTAGCCTGATAAGTAGGTCACTTTTTATGTCATCAAATACCTAAGGGTATAGTGCATGCATGGTGAAGAGTAAGACACATTTGTGGTGGGCGACTTCGAAAGTCTGAGAAATAAAATCACCAAAGAGGTTCATGCTTTTCTATTTCAGTTTCACCCCAGAATAATACATTTAACCAGATGCCTTAAAAGAAACAAAGTTCCAATGGTGATGGTTAACCTCCGCCAAGTTAAGCAACAGCATATAATTACATTATACACTCATAGTCCGATCTACATGTTTCATTTGTCTTTATTTGAATGTCAAGCTACCCTCAAAAGACATTAGTCGATATTGTTGTTGCTTTCTTTTTAGTACGAGTTCCAGTCTTAGTATAAAGTTATTCCATGATAATTATGGTCCAAATACTCTTACGAGTACTTTTGATGTTCAATCCAAACTGGGTGGCTCTTTAACGATTTCTTACGCTGATGTGTAAAAATCTGTTAAGCTACCCGAGGTCATTAGTGACATAATACATCACAGCTATATTTTAATGACCCGTTCGTATTGTACCAGTCAAATTAACATAACTTCTATCGTAATCGGGTACAGTCAGCTACGACATAGGACCAGGCACATATGTGCATCAGTCCAAGTTGCCATACCTCATTACTACAACAAGATAAACACCAAATTCATAGAAATACTTAATTCAATAGTGGTTATATATAAAAGAAAGATTGCACAGGGAGAAATAATTAGTTCGTAGAAAGAAAGATATAAAATAATTTTAATCTCACTGTTTATGGGCAGACAATGAGTGTATATACCTACGTCACTGTGATCGATTTTGAGCCATGTTACCCACAGTCTCCAACCATGGGTTACGATAGTCAAGCGGACCCCAACCAGATAGTCTGCATCTACCAACATGGCTCAGACTAGAAGTTAGTGACTTCAAGCACTGATGACACGCTTTGGTTTGGCCACCCCTAACTTTCTTCCAACCATCCCCAACATCGGTTAGCATTGCGCGTCGTGGTAATCTGTGTTCAGGCATATGCAACACATGGTCAAACCACCTCAGTCGATGAAGATTCACAACCTCATCAACTGATTTACCATCATCCCCTAATACCCTGCATCTAACCTCACTATTACTTATCCTGTGATCCTAGCAGATGCGAGCCATATTTCTAGGACATCTGTCATCAAATACTAGTAGCTTACGAGTATCTTCTACTCTTAATGACCGTTTCTCAGCCATAAAGTAAAATAGAACGAACTACTGCGCAGTATATTCGTCTCCTAATTGACAGATGGATACCTCACCTTCGTCGTATGTGACGTAATTTGGCAAAAACCAAACGAGCTATCTGAATCAGTGCAAAGATTTTGTCAGACACCAACCAATTAGGGCTGATCAGATAAGTGAGCTTGTTGACGCGTTCGACTTCTTCACTCCCTATCCTTAGTTCAGGTGTTGACACAGGCCAGTCCTGAAGAAACTACTTGTATTTAGAGGGGGGAAACACATTTCAAACTTCTTGGCATTGTTGCTCAGTGCTACCAAAAGACTGAATTTTATCAACATCTTCACCAAACAGGACTATGTCATCTTGGACCTCGTGGTACGAGATCAATGCCCGGGAATTCAGTGGACGAGAACGCCTAGAGTCAGCCTAATTTTCTCGTGTTTGCATTTCACCACTCTTACTTAGGCGCCTGATTATTATTGAGGCTAGTATTTTAGATGCTATATTAGTTAAACTAATCCCTCTATGGTTATCACAGGATGATTTTGACCCCTTCTTATATATTGGGACAATCAGTTATTGCGACCAGTCAGATGTGATTACGTCCAACTCCCAGATTTTAGTTAAAATATTAGTCCACCTAGTCGCTAAAACTGAACCAGCCTACGTAAAGACCTCTGGGGCCAATCCATATGAACCAGCTGCTCTTTCTCGTTTCAGATTAGCTATAAACTTCTGGACTTCAGATAGAGTCGGAGGACCTACTTCAATGTTCCATTCACGCTGTCTGAGAATGGTGGGTAGTTGTAGAGTAGCTGAAGGTAAGTTGAACTGCCCCTCAAAGTGTTTCGCCATCGTTCTAAACGTCTAGGCTGAGAGCAGACATGTGTCATTTTTTCCCGAGATAGTCTCACACTTGACTTATTAATTCCAGTTTCTTTCATTAGTGTGAAAAGCTGTCGGGTGTCACATACAGCCCCCGCGTTTTCCATCTCTTTTGTTTTCGCTGCTCACGGTCGTTCCTTAGACTTTTGTTTAACCTAGATCTGATTTGCTTTCGCTCTTCACCGTGTTCAGAGCCTGATGGGATGAGTTTACTAGAACTCATCAGTGAACTAGACTTAGAAGAAATCCATTGGTGTTTTGTGACCCTTTATTATAAATCACAAATAGATGTCACTGCTGTTTGTATATCTTTCCAAGCAACATCTGGATAAGCCTCGTTTTTAGAACTATTTAAGTGTGACCTCAGCTGTTTTTGGAATCTATTTTTGGCTTCCTCGTCACTGGGTTCGATTCTATGTCTTATTAAAGTGGTTTTTCTGCGTCCAGTGAAGCGCAAGCAAACGCGTGCTCGTATTAGAGCATGATCGGAGTCCAGACAGGTATTCCAGAATGAGTGGCAGTCCTCTGTCGACCCTTTCTAAAGACGAATAATGGTAATATGGTCTATTTGAGTCCATCGTTGGTTTGGTTATCTTTGAATTCGTTCCTGGACAGTAAAATAGCTTTAAAGATGACAGGATAAATATCATTTTTATTCGTTCAGATTTACCGGAATACAATATTTTAGAATTCGCCATAGCTCTTAAAAAAGACGCAACAACATTATTATTATGTATCTTAATCGCTTTCAAACAATAGTCTGTGAAACGCACATTCATATTCTTTTCGGCACTAGATTACGAGCCAAGGTCGTTCTTAAGGATGAAAAGCTGTTCTCAGTGAACTCATTGACAGATACTTCACATTCGTTAAAGGAAGTAGGCTCTTTACGGCTTGTTCGTGTATTTTAATTGTATGTGGTCTTATGTTACTAATTTAGTCTATTCTGTTTCGAATATGATGCACGAGTAATCCTGGAAGACTACATTCATTACATAAGATTAGTCACCAAAGTAAAGTCATCACCTTTCTTGGCAAAATCATGAGCATGTATTTCAAGTACGTGCTGGAGATGTGATCCAGAAAGACAAAACCTTGACAAGCAAATCATTCGATTGAGAGAACAACACCATCATTGTCGTCCTGATTTAAAAAAATATTCTTATGTTTTAGTCGACTAAATTCAATTTGCTACCCTGCGTGTTTATGAGAATATTGGCTACAAAGGATGAGCTGGAAGTTACAGATAAGGGGCTGGAGGAGCAGCTATTTAAAAGCTGGTAGTTTAGCTATCCAGTTAGTTCTAGTATTGCTGAGAACCAGTTCAGCCGGCTGGATTACCCTTTTCTCAGAACCGTTGTCTGACTCAGTTTTGTTTATCTCTATTCATTTATTCCCGAATACCTCCTGACGGTCTGAGCGGTAATTATGTTAAGTAGTTGGAGATACTGAGCAAAATGGCTAAGAATCGGTCGCAAATGCATTAACTCTTTATATTCCTCTGTGTATTGGGTTCTATTTTTTTTCGCGTATATCCGTATGGGATTTCTTTTCGAACCGTATTTTCAATACTTATATACTTTAGTGTAAATGATACTATTATTATCTTGATTCGATTGAAGTTCATTTTGATAATTCCACCTCGTGCCAAGGTAGTATAGTAATTTAAGCTGATGCACTTTTATTCCAGATTTAATTTGGACTATGAGTGATTTTGTATCTGCTTCGTAATAGCACAGTGACTAAACCAGCAAATATGTTTGTTGTACGTTTACTCATTACATTATACTAGGAGAAAGTTTTTGACTGACGAATTTTCAAGAGTACAACTGTATTGCTTTGTCTCTGTATGTCTTAGTCCGAGTTAAACTGAAGTCGCAAAACATCGAATGTATCTTACAACAAAGGGACATCCTTCAGACCGCCGGGTACTCGGAAATTAGTGCAAAATACTCAAAAGTATGTCGAGTTTTATAATATATATGAACTTATTGTTAGCTATCACAATTTTTAGGCGTATATAAAAGGCACTTTCTCTAAAAACCCGAATATGACTTTTTGTCTACATGAACTCTAACCGATTATCCAAACTGAATAGACTTATGATTACAGGTAATCACAGGTCTGCTTTCTTGTTGTGGTTAAACGTTAGGTGAAAACAAACACAAAGAGAAACTTTGAAAACATACAAAATACCTCTGAATTCACTCTGCCCATGTAATATTGCTGCGTAGAGACAATAAATAAACGTTGAAAAAGTAGTCGCTTATTATAAATAACCTTTATTATAAACTGTTTCTGAACCAAACTTTCGACATGACGTTCCAACATTCCAAAACCAGTGGTAAACATATGGTGAATGCAAAGCTGTACCAGTAGGAACTTATCTTCCAGCATTTTATTATAAAGTGTGCAGTTAGTATTACACCAGAAAAATGACAAGAAATAGCTACAGAGACGTTTGTTTTACTATTTCTGACTTACATATAACATTATGTACATTTATAAACATTGTAGCTCCACTTACAAATCCGATAAGTTCCAGCAGCATTAATATAACAGAAAGAGAAAATGAAATAATGTATCTGAAGTCATTTTAATGGGTAAAATCCTACTCGTAATATTCTTCGGCT